TTATGTATTGGGTTTTCCCAAAGGGGGACATTTTAATGAACAATAGTTTACTCGACTTTGAGTAGAGAAAGAAAAGTACTAAGATGAGAATTTTCATTGGCTGTCAGAATTTGGTGGATTGAAAGAAAGGAAGAACATGACAATTCTTAATTGACATTTACCCAATGGATTCTATTGAAGTCTCAGATGCCCCCAAGACTTTAAAATACTGGGTTCTTTATCCTTCAGAACTTAACTTTGGAAGGCAAATTATGTCGGCACATCTAAAGCCAGTCCCTTGCCTTTCCCCTACCTCAAACGTGAGACCTCCAGCTTACTCTGAATTAACTGCAAAATGTAGTGAATGCACCATTTGAAACATTTGGTCTTAGAAGAAACACTATTATTCCTCTGTCATGAGTTTAAGAGATTTTCACCCAGTCATTTAAGATGCAAACCACTATACTTGTCCCATTAGTGACTTGTGGGCCTTAATTTTGGCATTCAAAACAGGGAAAGAAACTTTGGTTCTTGAAATGTAGAAAATGGCTTGCAATATCCTCCCCCTTAAGATTATAATATTGGTCAAATGGTAGATAGACTCTTTACTACTGTCTTAGGACTGCTTGTGTACATATATAGGTACTGAGGTATTATTTAAAAGTATTTAGTAAATGTCTTAAATTTCTTGATATGTCCTCCAAAACAGCATGAGCTATTTTTAATACTGGGAATTATTTATAAATGCAGCTATTGATCACCTCAGATTTTCAAACAGACTGAACTAAGACTTGGGATTTTACCATCAGGAACTTTTTGTTTCATTTAATGAAATTTTGGTTTGTTGAACTGCTTTCCTGGTGTCAAAGAATCATGAGACCACCATTTAATAACTGAAATAAAAAGACAAAGCAGACTACTGATGGTAATAAGGGCAAAGTCATTTGCAACATTGTAGATATGCTCTGTAATGACCATGTTGCAGAGACATTACATTTTTAAGAAATAAAACTAAACATTATCTTGGCTTTTATCTCTAAATGGATATCAAAATAAGCATTATAAGTTAACTTAGCTGCCCATTTTTCCATATGTATTCAGACTCACATCTGAACACACATAATCAGATCAGTCTGATTATTAGACAAGAAGTGCCTATCTGCCATTTTATTAAATAAAGAGGGACAAAGAATATTTTAGCAGATATAGAAGCATTCTTAAGTTGGAGTTTATTAGCATCCTGCAAAAGTTCTTTTTTACCAAAGACTGTAATGCAAAAGCCTATATAACCAGCATTTAAAAAAAAAAAAAAAGTCAAGTGCTGTCTTACCACCATCACATATTTTTTAGCCCCACAAAATTACATTTTAGCTTCTAACCCCTTTCTCTTTCTTTATCACTCTTTGTTTCTTTTGGTCAGGTTAGAGAAGAGAATGTTTCTTATTTGTGCCAAGGGACCCTTGATGGTGATGCATGCTGGCAAGATAGTAAATTTGCAGTGCCTGCTTTTTTATATTTCTAATACAAATGGGAAAGGCTATGAAATCAATTTACTAGGTTTGTCCACTTTGAACATTCTTGAAAATAATATTGTGAATAATCATGTGTTGTCTGTGTGATTTCCCTCTAAATAGTGCCTGGCATATGCTATGTGCTATAAAAGTGTTAGCTGCTACTACTACTACTACTACCACCACCATTTATTATTATTATTATTAAATATCCATTGGTTGAAAACCATGGAGTCAGCTAAATCATACCTTCTACTGTACAAAATTTTGGAAAGCTAAGAAAAAGTATTCTGCACTAAACACTTTTAAAACGATGACTTATACTTTGGATATTTTAAAATATATTATTGAATGTTACTAAAACTTTAATCTGTATACTAAACTGTGTGGAAATAATTTAATTTTGTAGAGTTATACTTCTGTATTCTATATAATTGAAGATATTTTTATACTATATTGATAGTTTTTAATAAAGATGGTTTAGAGGTTTGTTTGCAGTTGTGTTGCCTTTTTGTCCATTCATCCTACCCTACAAACATTTATTACATTTCTGCTCTGTACCAAGCACTGTTCTGGATGCCAGAGATACAGCAGTGAACAAAACAGCTAAAAATCCCTACCCCCATAGAGCTTATGTTCCCATGGGGGAGGTAGACCACAAGTAACACAAATAAGTAACTATGTTGACAAAAGCTAAGAGAAAAAAAAAAGTGAAGCAAGAAAAATAAGATATGAGGTGTGGGAGACAGGGTGGCCAGGGAAAGTGGTGCTGAGGTGATCCCACATCTCAAGTAAGTGAGGAAACTAACCAAGCTGATTGCCAAGGAAAGAAGAGTGAACAGTGCAAAGGCCCTGAGACTCTATACTTTTAATATCAACATATAAATCACCAGAACTTTTTTCATTCCCTAAATCAGTAAATAAAATACAATGCAGCAAATTAAAATAAACATTTTCAGTTATATCTATTGAAAAGAGCTGATTCAGAGCTCTTAATAGGGTTAAAAAAAAAAGCTACACTTCTAAGTACTTTCACTTTTGCTGTCTCCTAACAAAGAATACATGTCAAAAGTAAGCTAGAGGATATCATAAAGGAATATGCTATGAACATGTCAACTACGGGGTCAAATGTCAGGGGAGAGGGGCAAGGGAGGCAAGAAAGGAAGGGACAGAAAATTGCCCTGGCAGAAGACTTGCTTTTGCGGCCTCCGAGATACTACGTTCCCTGTGACCAGAGATGGTTCTGTTGACCTCTCTTAGCACCTTAAAAAGACGGTCTGGCTTGGAGTGTGGTTCAGGCAATTCACCCTTTAAATTTCTCCCTAAGTCCTCCGAATTACCTTAAAAGAGAATGAAACATTTCATTTTTCAGATTTTTGCAGATAAAATGCCCATCATTTCTTGAATTTGCAATGGGTTTCACAAAGGATTTTGAAGTCAACACAATGAGAAAACTTTAAATTTTTCAAGCTAGGAATAATTAATGCAATTGCTTCAGAAAGATTAATCTGGCAGCAGCATGTAAAATGTAGAGACTCAGGCTGAAAAACCAGCTGAGTCAAATAAGCCACTATGGAAAGGAAGGTAGCACCAAACATGGTACCAGTAGGACTTGCCAACTAGCTTTACGTGAGGTAATCAAAATATTAACAGAATTCCTGCTCTGGAATCCTTCTGGCCTAAATATTTGTTTTTTAATTAGTGACAGGTACTATTAAAAGAGTTCGGACACACTTAAGATAATAAAGAAATGTAACCTCAAGTTCAAAAAAGCCAGTAACTCATCTCACATTTTATAGATGTGTTTCAAGACTGCAAGTCCTACAGAGTAAGAGATGATAAGATGGAATCTTCCTTTATTAGAAACCATCAAACAAGCTGTAAAGATGAATCAGGAATATATTCTTTTATTAATAATACTAAGACATTATTTGCCTGTTTCACTCATTAGCGTACAGTGGAGTTCTCCACCAGCTACATGTTGTGTGATATTGCAGCAAATGGAATGCAAAAGCAGCTATGTAAATCCAGCTGTCTTTTATTAAGCCAGACATTTAAAAAGACTTTCAAAAATATAAAACAAGGCTGTTCCCACTACGTTTTTTTGTTTGAAAATAGTTATTTTTTATTTTAAAATGTTTCTTATGTAGGGGTTTACTATTGTTACTTTAAATGAGTTGATTTTTAAACTTTTCTATTTCAATTTCTGAAATGGTTAATGTCAACACGTATCACCAAAACAGAAGCTTCTTTGTGGTCTTCAATGTTAAGAGTGAAAAGCTATCCTAAAATCAAAGTTTGTGGACCACTGTTCTCGAACAGGTCATTGATTCTCAGCCCTGCACATTAGAATTACCTGGGGAGGACTTCCCTGGTGGCGCAATGGTTAAGAATCCGCCTGCCAATGCAGGCGACACAGGTTCGAGCCTTGGTCTGGGAAGATCCCACGTGCCGTGGAGCAACTAAGCCTGTGTACCACAACTACTGAGCCTGTGCTCGAGAGCCCATGAGCCATAACTACTGAGCCCGAGTGCCACAACTACTGAAGCCCAGGTGCCTAGAGCCCATGCTCCGCAACAATAGGAAGCCCATGGGCAGCAACGAAGACCCAATGCAGCCAAAATTTAATTATTCCTAAAAAAGGAAGAAAAGAAAATACAAGGCTTAAAAAAAAAAAATCTAAAAAAAAAAAAGAATTACCTGGGGAATTCAAATTCAAATACAGACACCAGGGTTCACTTCTAGATATCCTGATTTAACAGGACCTAAGCCAATCATCAGTTAGACTAAACACTCCCCCACTCCCCACCTTTGAGTGTGCAGTCTGGCTTGAGCACCACTGCTCTATACAGAATTACCAATTTAAATAAAATACAGGAGAAAGAGGAACATCTTGTGTTATGGGGTGCAGTCAGTAAAACCAGACAGTGACTAGACAAATGACCCCTGCTAAATTAGACGAGCAGAAATTAAAGCAATTTCTAACAGAAGGTGTAAGGCAGTGGTCCTCAACCTTTTTGGCACCAAGGCCCAGTTTCATGCAAGACAATTTTTCCGAGGACAGGGAAGCTGGGGATGGTTCAGGCAGTAAGGTCAGCGATGGTTCAGGCGGTACTTCCAGCGATGGGGAGCGGCAGATGAAGCTTCGCTGGATAGCCCGCTGCTCACCCCCTGCTCTGCCGCAGGGTTCTTAACAGGCGGCGTCCCAGTACCTGGCCTAAGGGTTACCCTGGGAACTAAAACTAAACTCGGTTAATCCCACACAGTTGGTTTATTGCTCTGTCCTGGTGTGGGCTACTAAATTTCCTTATACAGAACTGGTTTTCCCGCGACCGTTCCCGCACCTTCCTGGGTCAGAACCCACTGGCCTCCTAGCCCTGCCTGCCGCAAGGACAGCCCCGCACCAACACTTGCCAAGACACTTTAAGAGACTTGCACCACGCGGAGTAGCCACGTGTCGGGAGTCACGTGGCCGGCGCCGGGTGGCGGAAGGCGGTTGGAGGCGCCTGCGCAGCTCCGCACCCCCGGCGCGCTGGTTTCCCGGCGTGCTGAGCGCCGTTTTCCAGCCGGGACGACGCTGAAGCGGTTTTTGGCTTCCCTTCGTCCGTCTCCCCCGCTCTCGTTTTGAGCTTCTGCTGCCCGATTTTACGTCCATTGTCCCACCATGCAGAGTGTACCTCCGAAGAAGAAGCTGGAGAAGAAAGCGGAGAAGCAGCTCTTTGACGCCGCGTCCTTTGGGAAGGACCTGCTGGCGGGCGGGGTGGCGGCGGCCGTGTCCAAGACGACGGTGGCGCCCGTCGAGCGGGTAAAGCTGCTGCTGCAGGTGCAGGCGTCGTCCAAGCAGATCAGCCCCGAGGCCCAGTACAAAGGCCTCGTGGACTGCCTGGTGCGGATTCCCCGTGAACAGGGTGTGTACGCGAGGCCGCCGCGCTAGCCTCTCCCCGCGCCGGTTCAGCTTTCCAGAAAAGCGGGTGGGTGGCCCGGGCGGGGACAACGCTTGCGGTCGCCACGGCCGTGTGTGTCGGTGATGAGTTTGTTTTCTTTGACTTCGATAATTCAATTTCTTAACCAGTCTAAGAGGCTCTGGTTTCCCAGGGCCAAGAAGGCCTACACGTGACCAGTCCTGGGACAGGGGAGACCACCACCTTCTCTTTCTCTAAATTTCTCCTTCGCAGGAGGCTCTGCACCTCCATGCACCTGTGTCTGGCTCAGGAGGAAAATGGTTGACGTCCCCGTATTGGGGTAGATGCCATCAGGCCCTTGGCTGTATGTTAATAGGTGCTTTAAGTTGCTTAAATATTTGTTGAAATATTAAGAGAAGTATTCCAAATATGGAAGCATTGGGGCCTCTCAGTATCTAGTACGTATTCAGTGAAAAGAGGTTCTGTTTATTCTCAAGAACTACTAAAGACCAGGGTTGAGACCAAGGAGGCACTCACGTATGCCCAAATTTTAGGGGGACGCCAAAAAAAAAAACTCAGTAGTAGAAACAAATAATATTTTAATGCAGTATTTTTAAAAATCGAAATTAATGCGAAAAACCCATGATGAGCAAGATATAAAAATCTTAAGTAAAGGCGGGATCAGTATTTTTTTTGCGTCAGGCTCTGTTTTTACTTAAAGTTTTGATATTTTGGTTCTTTGTGGAGTTTTTTTCCATTAATATTGAAATGATTTCAAGGACTAGATAATGAAAATGCTTTATTAATCATTCAATGCCCTCTTCTTACTGAATGGCTCCTTAAGTTAGCTAAGTGGATAAGAGGATAAATTGATCAGAAATTTTCTGATATAGTTGGATTCAATTGAAACCTCTATATGAACTCTAAAAAGGAAAGAGGTCTATTTATTGTGTATTCTGAACAAGAAGTGTAGTGGCTTCAACTCCAGTGCAGTCCTTTCTTTCACTCCTAAGTCTAGGGCAGATTACTCTTCTTCCCATAAAAAAGGATTCCTGGGAACTCCCTGGTGGTCCATTGGTTAAGACTCCTCACTTCCACTGCAGGGGGCACGGGTTCAGTCCCTGGTCAGGGAGCTAGGATCGCACAAGCAGAGTATTTCAGGTTGAGGGTAGACTGTTAAGGCATCATCTCAACTGTGGATTTAAAGTGCCCATCTGGGAGCTGAGTTTAGATCTTTAATGGTAAGTGAGTGGTTCACATCTTCTCACTCCCATTTTATCAGAGCAAGCTTCCCATTCCTCTTCGGAGAAGTAGGAGCCTCTTTATTATTTGCTAATCTGCTTTAAATATACAGTCAGGTAAAGTTAAATATTCTGGATAGATTGTGCTGACCAGTGCTAAATCGTTTGATATTTTAAATGTTTTTTGTAGTATTTAAACCTAAATTTATTCCGTATGGCTCTTGTAAATTGAGACTATTATGAATAGTATTCTGGTTCCAGCTTCCTTTAAGCAGAATTTTAAGAAAATGTTTTCTAGTGTATACAAGGCCTTGTTATGAGTACACCATGGTATATGCTATGCTAAAAGATTAGTAATTCAAAACAGGGATAATATTGCCATCTAGGGGCATTCTGGGAAACTTGTGAGGAATTTTTTGTTTAACACAAAGATAGAGGGGAGTAATCCTTAATTGCAATGATATGAAAGGCAAAATCCAGGGCTGCTAAACATCCTGCTGCTGCTGTACATGGCCAGTCCTACACAACAAAGACTTGCCCTGCAACCTCATGACTCAGATCTCCCACTGGACATTCACGTAGCAGTAAAACCTGTTTATGATTATCTAAGCCTAGAAACGAACTCCTATTTACCTATAAACACAAACTGTCTGGGGCAGAATCACACAGTGATCTAGTAATGCAGCTATCTTGTAAGTAGAGGAAAGATTATATTTTGTTTTATTCAGAATTTTACTGAGAGTTGTTCATCATTGTGAAAACTCATGTTAGCAATTCTGTGTGTGATATTTAGTCACTACTTATATCATCTGCATTTTTAACTATTGAATTCATGATGATTGTATAGATATATTTATTAAGCCCTTTTTTCCAAATGTCAACGTGTGTCTTAAGCACAACTGATTCATTATAAATAGAGGCAAGCATTGGACTGTTATGTCTATGATGTGATCACGCCTCACCAATTTACTAAGTAATATATATATTTTATTATAAACTCTTATTTTCTCTTTGTATATAGCAGAAAGGGCATTATATTGATTTTTTTTGAACTAGTGAAGAGGTCATTGTCTTTGAATTCTACTTCTAGATAGTAAAGGAAACATTGTAAAATATTTATTATGTATAGAAGACTTGAACCTGGTAGCGCTGAGAATCACTGTGCTAAATCATTATGGAACTTTACTAGGCAATCATATTCTGAGGCTTGTTATTTTCTGGAATTTACCTTCTGTCTCTTTTGTGAAAGTCAAGATACATTACATTCTCAGTGTTCTGAAGTTTCTCTTGTTTTTCCTGTTTGCTCAAGTTTTACTGATAACTTTTCCTTTCTTTAGGCAATATGGAATAAGCATAAGAGACAATGAATTCAGAAGGCACAACTAGATGCTCTCTCACTATCTTCTTACCTTATCTCTTTCTTTACACCTCAAGGAGAGAGCTCTTCATTCTTCCTCTGAACATAGCTTTAAACACCTCCTTGGGTGTCTTTGATACTTCTTATAAGCTTTCCTTGGCTTATGAAAGCTTCTGGATTTATCCTGACTAATGCTTTTTTAAAAATTTATTCTATTCTTTAGTTGGTATTATGACCTTCCAACTTTGTATGTGTACTTTTATTTAGTACTTTTTAAACCTGTATTACACAAATAATGCATGTTTACTATAGAAAATTGAAAAATATAGAGAAACAAAAAGTTTTTAAAAAGCACTGCTAACATCACCACAGTTAACATTTTGGTGTCTGTGCTGTGATTTTTTTCACTGAGCAAGCTATGCATCGGTAAATATATTTTAATTATTATAATTGTTTTATTTAATATATTGTAACATAGGCTTTTAAAGATGTTATCTCTAAATCTCATGTTTAAGAGCCTACCAGAACTCTTTTCTCTTTTAGGTATTCCTGGCCATGAATTCATCAGCTGTCTTTAATCTGAACTTTTCCAAACATATTTTCCTGAAGGCTAAAGCAGGGAGGTTTTTATATCTTGAAGATGATATTTTGGGGTATGGAAAGAAAATGTTAGGTATATGTGTTATCTAAATAAAATGGGAACATAAACTTTACTGATATTTAGTAAATGAATTGGCACTGGCACCTATGGTTGGCCAAATGTCAGTTATATATCACAGGATGCTAAGGTATCCTGAAAAAAAGAGTAGGAGTTACACACGGTAAAGGGGATAACAGGTACCCTTACTCAATTATTGTATAATGAACATATTATAGTTTATGTTGGCTCAGATAAATGGATTTATAGAGATAAGAAGACTATTTGAATATTTGAAATTGTCAAGAATACTATTTGAAATATAGATTCACATACACTATTTTTAAGAATGGACCTCATCCTAAGGGTGCCTTGAGATAATAGCAGATGATAGTATGAAAACATCATGATTAGCAAGATATCTGAAAATACTATTTTTTAACTATTAAAACAAATGCTCAGTTGTGCCCTAATATCTAAAAGTTTTTCCCGACCATCCTATCTAAATAGCCCTTCCTCATTCTCCAACTACATATACTATTTTTTTCTTGAACATATTTATTTGTTCATTGTCTGTCTTTCTCAAAATGTAAGCTCCATAAGACCAAGAACTTTGTTCCTATGCACTTGGTACCAAATAAAAGATGTTTAAATGAAGAATCTTTTTTTTAAAATTTTTATTGGAGTATAGTTGATTTACAGTGCTGTGTATATGAAGAATCTTTAACTCATTCTTTCATTTCTCTTTTGGAATAGTTTTACAAATGCACATAACAGGGTAGTATAGTAGCAAAGGTATATTATTTACTTTTTTAAGTATGTACATATTTGAGAGTCATGATTACATTTTTTTAACTGATAGGCAGACTGTCAAAGCATGTTGGAGCCTGCTAGTCTAGAATATACAGTTGACCCTTGAACAACACGGGTTTGAACTGTGTGGGTCCACTTACACATGGATTTTTTTTTTCTCCAGTAGCAAATACTACAGTACTTGATCCCTGGTTGGTTGAATCCATGGTTGCAGAACCGTGGTTATGGAAGAACCACATATAGGGAGGGCTGACTACAAGTTATTACTTGGATTTTTGACTGCAAGGATAATCAGCACCCTAACCCTTACGTTGTTCAAGGGTCAACTGTATACCCAAACATGCCTAGCATTTCCATTCTTGGCTAGTAAGTGGACAAGTAAATGGCCCAGTAACTTTTTCCCATTTTCCCATCAGTTCTGTATTCTTAATTATTTTCTCAGAATTAAGTTCAGAGTAGGTTTTTCTCACCCTTAAATTTTGAAGAGATTATTTTTACTTAGCAATTAAGTAAAAAAAAAAACTTAGATGTTCTGCTATTAGCAGAGAAATATACCACAACCCCTATGTTTGTCTCTGTGAGTTTTGTGATTATATATTAGGAAACTGTCCTTTTGTTCTGTGTAACTAGAGAGTCAAATACTGATACATTTGCATCACACTTGCTTTTCCCTTGTTTTATTCTGACCACAAAGTACTACTGTTTTTATCCAAAATGGATTTTTACCTAGAGGCAATAGAGATTTAATAGCTCTAGGTCTGGAGTCAGATAGATCTAGAAAATTCTGGAGTTAAGTCCCAACCTTTCCCTTACCTTGTAACCTTGAACAATTTTTTTTTTTTTTCCCCCGTTACGTGGGCCTCTCACTGTTGTGGCCTCTCCCTTTGCGGAGCACAGGCTCCGGACGCGCAGGCTCAGCGGCCATAGCTCACGGGCCCAGCCGCTCCGCGGCATGTGGGATCTTCCCCGACCCGGGCACGAACCCGTGTCCCCTGCATCGGCAGGCGGAGTCTCAACCACTGCGCCACCAGGGAAGCCCCTTGAACAATTTTTATTTAACCTCTCTCAACCTCAATTTTCTCAGTTCTATACAGGGTGTAAAAATATTACCTACCTCATATGGTAGTTGCGACGGTTAAACAAGATAATGCCTGTAAAATACTCAGCCACGTATCTGTTGCATAGTTAGTGCTCAATAAATTTTAACTCTTTAATCATTTTGAATACATTCCTAAATTTAGAAACATGTATTCCTCATGTTCATTTGTAAATGAATGTATTTGGGATAAATTTGCATTACATGTAGAGTAGATTTTTGTAATCTATCTAAAGAACCTACATAGTACACAGTGTACTTAGTGTACATGTGGATAAAACCTTGAAACCTGGTCCCCAGAAATAATATTTCTATAGAAGATGCATTCAGAGTTCCACTTTGAGGTTCCTCCTCTTTGCACTCCTACTAAGGACATTGGAGCTCCTAAAAGCATGGTACAGCAGAGATGCAAAGAAGGGAATAAGTTTTTTAAGTATGATCTGTGGAAAAAGAGTCTAAAGCAGGGGTTTTTAACCTGATATCTGTAGCTCCAGGGAATCCATGAATCCTGAGAAATACATGCAAAAGTATTTTATGTGTGTGAGATACTTTTTCATATATAGCTCATTAAGAGCTGCCACTGTTATACTTCTAGGGATTTTTTTATTTCTAGATTTTTCATTGAGACATTGACAGTTGTTTTGATGAATCCTCTAGGTTTTTTCATGCAAATACAATTTTGCTAAAAGGAATACGTTCTTCTGTCAATGCTAGCAAACCCCTTTAGTCATAAATCTGTCACTCTGTCATGGTGTCGTTAATTTGCAGATGTCTTTGTCATCAGAATCTTCCATTTATATTCAGTACATTAGCCAAAGTTACAAACCTTTATACTATTCTTATATTTATATGATACTTTTTGTGAAATAAATATTAATTCAGTACTGTAATCATAATTAATTATAACTAATAACTCATAATCTGAAACCTATAATATCTCAATACCATCTAGCTGAATCAACCATTTCCAGAATGACTATTAATAAATAAGAGCCATGTATAAAATGGGAATTCTAATACATTTTTGATACATGACTTTTTTTTTTTTTTTTTTTTTGGCGGTACGCGGGCCTCTCACTTTGTGGCCTCTCCCATTGTGGAGCACAGGCTCCGGACTCACAGGCCAAGCGGCCATGGCTCATGGGCCTAGCTGCTCCGTGGCATGTGGGATCCTCCCGGACCGGGGCAGAAACCCGTGTCCCCTGCATCGGCAGGCGGACTCTCAACCACTGCTCCACCAGGGAAGCCCCATGACACTTTTTTAAACTCAGTTTATTACTTTGTTTTTTTTTAAACAAATGATGATTTCAACTTAAATCCCATTTGATCAGATCGTAGTTCTTCAGGCAGTATGTTCTTCTTTATCCTTTTAAGATCCTCTGCAAGTAGTCTGTTGTTGTGTTACTATAAAACATGGTCTAGAAAATCAAACCTTATTCAGTATCATTTACACTGTCACATTTTACTTTCAACATTTCTCTTCCACAGGTCTGACCTCAGAAAATAAAAATGCTTAACTATGTTATTAAATGTTTTTTTTTTTAAATTTAATTTATTTATTTATGGCTGTGTTGGTCTTCGTTTCTGTGCGAGGCTTTCTCCAGTTGCGGCAAGTGGGGGCCACTCCTCATCGCGGTGCGCGGGCCTCTCACTATCGCGGCCTCTCTTGTTGCGGAGCACAGGCTCCAGACGCAAAGGCTCAGTAATTATGGCTCACGGGGCCAGTTGCTCCATGGCATGTGGGATCTTCCCAGACCAGGGCTCGAACCCGTGTCCCCTGCATTGGCAGGCAGACTCTCAACCACTGCGCCACCAGGGAAGCCCAAATGTTTTTTATTAACTATGAAGAACTTAAAAATCTCTAAAAATACCTCCAAAAGTTAGATTCACCAACTTCCCTCAGTAATTCAATGTGGCCATAACTAGCAAGAAATATTCCTTTATAATTTGCTCATATTTCTCATGTTTTAAGATTTTTATTTTGCTTCCATTAAAGAAAAATTGTTAACCTTTCTTAGTACAGAAAATATTTGTATGATTAAATTATTTATGGAAAAGTATTATAGTTAAGGGACTGAATTATTGAGCCAGATTGCTTGAGTTTGAATCCAAGTCTACAGTTTTCTGACTAAGTGACACTGGGCAAGTTACTTAACTAACTTCTCTCTGCCGTAGAAGTTTTTTTAACTCAGTTCTTCATATTTAAAATGGAGAGACTAATAGTACCTACATCATGGGTGATCATGAGAATTAAATGAATAAAAAGCAGTTCCTAGAAATTAGTATTATTGTTTTGTTAATATTGCCTCAAAAATTTTTACAGTAATCATTTTCCATTTTTTAAAAAATAGAGCTTTATTTACCATACTTTAATAATTTTAGGAGTTCTCTAAGGTTTGTTTCTCCAGAAACCCAAAGCTGAAGTAGAGCTTTGGAGACAGACAGAAGCCTTGATTCAAAATCCTGGTTATAGTTTCTAAACTTATAAAAGTTTCAATTTATGCATGTATAAAATGGGTATTATAGGAGAACGTATGTCATAAGCATAGTGTGGTGATGAAATGAAATATATAAAGCGTTTGCCAGTGCCTGGCACATATTAATTGCTCAAGAAGTTGTAGCTATTACCATTATGTGTTAAATGCCCTAGTAATTTATGCCTACAACTGAATGCCTTGTAACTGAATCAGCTGTGAGGACTGAGAAGATTTCTTGCTATTAATATACTTCTTAATTGCCTCTGTGCAACTGCTTTATATTTAGCTTGGGATCACCAATATTCAGTGTTTTTTCCCACAAAGTATAGTTATTTAACAAATAAATATCTTTTCCTTTGTGTGTTTATCTAATCTAACTTTCAGTTTCTGAGCACCAGGCCCAGTCAACTGAGATTATCTTCATTTGTATTTTTATCTTTAGAAGACTGATTCTGGGTATCCTATTCTCCCAGCTGGGACTAGAGGTATCCTATTCAGAGTAGCAGAGTCAAACCATCTGTAAAAACAACTATGGGTCCTGAAGGGCTAGGCTGTTGTATTCCAGGGCAGCTATGGATTATAAAGGCAGTGTTGAATTTTGAATTATCAGGGTAACACAGTGACTGAATTATAAAGTTTGGTCATTCCATGGAGATTTGAAGTGGGAAGATTATTGACCTTGAAAGTTTCCTACTATCTCTCCATCTAGCCTCTGGAGACTGCCTTGAATTGTAAATTGATTCTTTTTTGGCTAGGTTTTAAAATATAAAGATAAGACTCTTTTATCCCTTTCTCATTCTCAGGAGTGTAGATACAAAACAGTTTTGTTCCAACAGCCTTGTCACCATAGGAATTGTATTTTATGATTTGGAAATGAGGCTAAGGATTACTAGCTTCTCTGACAAATACTAGTAAGCTCTGTTTTTCTACTACTAAAGAGCCCTATATTCAACTGGTAATGCTTTCCATAGGTTTTTAGGCATTCAAGGCTTCCTATTGGAAATTAACAAAATTGAAATGGGGTACGTGGAGTTAACACTGCCTTTTTTCTTCAGTTGGAGACACATGTAAACTTTATTTTTTTTCTCATGAGAAAAGATGTTTTAGATAGTTTGAACAGCTAAGTTTGTTAAAACTATGCAAATTATTTAATAATAATACAATATAAGTTTATATTTAGTATATTTTCTTTTGTAGGTTTCTTCAGTTATTGGCGTGGCAATTTGGCAAATGTTATCCGGTATTTTCCAACACAAGCTCTAAACTTTGCTTTCAAAGACAAATACAAACAACTGTTCATGTCTGGAGTTAATAAAGAAAAACAGGTAATTATTGTTTATTTTATTTTGTTATTTTTTAATTGAATGAAAGAGTCTTTAAATTATATAATACTTTGCAATTTTCAAAAGTTTTACACACATGATTTCATATTGTCTCATAGTAACCCCTTTTTTCTGCCATCCCTGTCTGCCCCTCCCCCTTCCCTCTCCCCACTGGTAACCACTAGTTTGTTCTCTATATCTGTGAGTTGCTTCTCTTTTGTTTTATTCATTAGTTTGTTATATTTTATAGATTCCACATATAAGTGATATCATACAGTATTTGTCTTTCTCTGACTTATTTCACTTAGCATAATGCCCTCAAAGTCCATCCATGTTACTGCAAATGGCAAAATTTCATTCTTTTTTATAGCACAATAGTATTCCATTGTTTATGTATACCACATCTTGTTTATCCATTCATCTGTTGATGGACACTTAGATTGCTTCCATACCTTGGCAATTGTAAATAATGCTGCTTTGAACATTGGGGCACATGTATCTTTTCGAGTTAGTGTTTTTGTATTTTTTTGGATATACACCCAGGAGTAGAATTGCTGGGTCATATGGTAGTTTTATTTTTAGGAAAAACAGGTAATTATATTTTAATATCTCTAAAATTTTTTAAGAAGTAGTTGGATTTGTCTTACTTGAGGGTTTTTTTCAGTTGAAGTATAGTTGATTTATCAATACAGTGTTGGTTAATTTCTGCTGTACGACAAAGCAATTCAGTTATACATATATGTATATATATATATTCTTTTTTTATATACTTTTCCATTATGGTTATTCCAGGATATTGAATGTGGTTCCCTGTGCTATACAGTAGGACCTTGTTGTTTGTTTTCTATAAAACAACTTACATCTGCTAACCCCAGCCTCTCCCTCCTTCCTCCCCCACCCCCATCCCCCTTGGCAACCACAAGTCTGTTCTCTCTGTTTGTGAGTCTGTTTCCGTTTCATAGATAGGTCCATTTCTGTCATATTTTGGATTCCACATATAAGTGATATCATATGGTATTTGTCTTTCTCTTTCTGAGTTACTTCACTTAGAATGATGATCTCTAGTCCATCTTTCTGCAAATGGCATTATTTCATTCTTTTTTATGACTGAATAGTATTCCACTGTATATATGTACCACATCTTCTTTATCCATTCATTACCTGTGGGGTTTTATTTGGAGAGGAGGTGCTCAAATGGTGGAAAAAAATAATAGTTAAAACATAGTAACTGTTAGGGACTTCCCTGATGGTGGCAGTGGTTAAGAATCTGCCTTCCAATGTGGGAGACATGGGTTCAATCCCTGGTTGGAGAACTAAGATCCCACATGCCGCAGGGCAACTGAGCCCGTGCAACACAACTAGAGAGAAGCCTGTACACCACAACTACTGAGCCTACCTGCTCTGGAGCCCACGCACCACAACTAAAGAGACCACGCACTGCAGCTGCTGAGCCCGCGCACTCTGGAGCCCGTGCACCAAAACTAGAGAAGCCCACGGGCTGCATCTACTGAGCTCATGTGCTCTAGAGCCCATGCACCACAACTAGAGAAGCCCGCATGCTGCAACAGAGAGCCCATGCACCGCAACGAAGACCCAGCACACCAAAATAAATAAATAAAAATAATAAATAAATAAATACCTTAAAAAAAAAGATTAATAATACCTGAGAAAAAACATAGTAACTGTTAGCGTACTATAATATGTATTAAGTTATAGAAATGACATATGGAAAACATAGAATTGTATTAACTTTTACCAGTTTCTCTAAACCTCTTAACACAGTTTTAATAACTAAGAGATGTTTTGTCTCAACACAATATTTCTCTGAATAAATATTAATTTTAATACAATTTACATTTTATAATCCCTATTCTGCGCTAGAAAAATTCAGCATTTAATCTGGTTTTGATAAGCAAAAAAAGCAGTCAACAAATGTGTATTTCCTAATTCTGAAGTAATTTATTTCCTAAAGAAGCAAATTGTTTCTTCTTTATGACTGAGGCTCTATTTGGCTGAGATTAAAGTGTGTAGGAAGATCAAGTCAAATACAGGAAAATGATAAATTTAACTTAGAGAATTCTCTTGTAAAGCAACTATAGTCCAATAAAAATTAATTTCAAAAAAGTTAGAGAATTCTCTTTTTTTTTATTACAAAGGTGCTTTTACTTTTCAGGGTAATCACTCCCTTGGTTATAAAATCTCATTTTCAAAATTTCCTATTTGTATGAACTATGTGTCATTTGTCCTGGTCTCCATTTGTTTTGTTACCTCCGTATACACTAGACCACCTACATTACTGTCAAGATCTTCCCCTCACCCGCCCTTATAAAGTCTCTCTACCCCTTCATCCTTTGTCTTTTTCTCTTCCCCCAGCCAACCAACCAAGCTGTCCTAGCAGATTCTTTAAAAGCAACTATTTATGGAACATTTCTTTGTTGCTATTTCCATTAATTTCCTTTTAGACCCTTTATTTCCTTTATTGAGTGCTTTGTGCTATTATGTAGTTGGAGGTATAAAGGTAACAAAGAAAATTCTTTACGCTTAGATTCAGAAGATCTGGATTTAGGTCCTGGCACTCAGCTTATTTAGCTGTGTGAATTTTTGAATATCGCCTCTCTGATCTTTAGTTTCCTCATCTGAAAATTGGACATAAGAATACCTACCTCACGAGGTTTAGATGAGTAAGGTTTAGATGAGACTAAACATGTAAAGACACATAAAGTGCTTACTGTAGCGCTGTGCTTTTTTTTTTTTAAGTAATTGGTATTTTTTTAAAAATATTATTTATTTATTTTTGGATGTGTTGGGTCTTTGTTGCTGCATGTGGGCTTTCTCTAGTTGCGGTGAGTGGGGGCTACTCTTCATTGCGGTGCGTAGGCTTCTCATTGCGGTGGCTTCTCGTTGCGGAGCATGGGCTCTAGGTGCGTGGGCTTCAGTAGTTGTGGCACACGGGCTCTAGAGCGCAGGCTTAGTAGTTGTGGTGCACAGGCTTAGTTGCTCCATGGCATGTGGGATCTTCCCGGACCAGGGCTCGAATCTGTGTCCCCTGCATTGGCAGGCGGATTCTTAACCACTGCACCACCAGGGAAGTCCCAGTGCTGTGCTTTTATGGTAGGCACTCAGAAAAATGTTTGTCATCTTTAGGTAACAACTCTAATAGTTGGAACTTCTCTTGACTAAGGACCTATGTCAGAGGGTCCTCAAGACCATTTTCATGTTCAGCGATTCACTAGGCCTCAGAGAACTCAGAAAAGCTGTTATACTAATGGTTTATTACAACAAAAGGATATAGATTAAAATCAACAAAGGGAAAAGGCACATAGGACAAAATCCAGGAGAAACTAGGTGCAAGCTTCTAGCTGTCCTCTCCTGTAGAGTCACCTGGACAGCACTTAATTCTCCCAGCAATAATGTATGACAACACATATAATGTGCTGCCAAATAGGGTTGCTCATTTGAGCCATGGTGGCCAGGCTTTTTGGGGAGTCAGTTTCATAGGCATGTGTAATGTGACTGACCTTGCCTACTCAGTCTCCAGCCGCTGCCCCCACCCACTCAAGAGGTCAAACTGATATAGTTTAGCCCAAAGCATACAAAGGGGTGTTCACCATAAATCAAGGTTAGTATAAACTATCTGGTGTTACCCAAAGCTTCAGGTATATAAAGACACTCTAATTAGGTAGGATATTCCAAGGGCTCAGACGGTTATCTCAAAGGAACCTTTGAGTTTGAGCAAGGGTGGTCCTGAAGATCTTTTCAGTGTGTGTAGGGTTTGGGCAACACAGGCCAGCTGAGTTAACTCTTTATTGAACATTTTCCACCCCATCTCCCCCAAAAGATAATTCCTATAAGACTAAGCCAAATGGAGCAATTAACTCCAGAATTAACCAGAAAATTTATGTTACTAACATCTATCCCTAACAGTGTAAATAACATGGCTCTAAAATTTTTGAAGTTAGCTTTGATCCGTGCTAAAATTCTGTAATAAATTTCAAATTAGTAGAGCCTGAGGTAAAAACATTTTTAGTATACCTATAAAGAGCATGCTATCTTATTTAGAATGTAAAGGTATTCAGTCACAAGTAATAGTGTAATGTTTAAATATATATTATTTACTAAATCTGGATACTAATGACCATTTTATTTCTCCCCTTAGACATCAAAATTGTATCCTATCTCTGCTCCCATCCCCCTACCAAGAAAAGTGGGGGAAAAAAAAAAAGAACTGAAAAAGAAAAGTCAATATTTTTGGTTTCTTACCTGGTCTTAAAAGAAGCAGAGAAGGTAGAAAAAACAAGTACAGTGTATGTGATTTAAAAGTGGTTGATCTACCACAGTGAGATCTCTGCACACTTACCAGAATGGCTAAAATGGTGACAATACCAGATGTTGGCACGGACACAGAGGAGCTGAATCATTCTTACATTGCTGGTGGGAATGTAAAATGATATTGCCACTCTAGAAAAGAGTATGACAGCTTCTTACAAACTGAACATATGCTTATCATACAGTCCAACTCTAGGGCATTTATCCCAGAGAATAAAAACTTCTGTTCACAAAAAAAGCAATGTATACAATGTTCATAGAAGATTGTTTCATTATAGACAAAAATTTGGGAATAACCCAGATTTCCTTCAACAGGTGAATGCTTAAACAAACTATGGTACATCACACCATGGAAGATTACTCAGCAATAAAGAGGAACAACTCTTTGATAAAACAAATACTGTATAATCCCCTTAGGGACCTAGAAAAGGCAAATTCATAGAGACAGAAAGTAGAATAGAGGTTACCAGGAGCTGGGGGGGAGGGAGATTATTTAATAGGTACATAGTTTATATTTAGCATGATGAAAAGTTCTGGAAATAGATAGTAATGATGCTTATACAGTATTGTACTTAGTGCTGCTGAATTATATACTTAAACATGGCTAAAACAGTAAATTTTACGTATATTTTACCACAGTTTTAAAAAAGAACAGACTTTTGATACCTACAGCAACTTTGAATGCTAAGTGAAAAGAAGCCAATCTCAAAAATTATATTTGCTTTCTGATTTCATGTATATAGCATTATTAAGGTGAGGAGATTATAGAGATGGAAATTATAATAGTGGTTGCTAGGAGAGAGGGAGGTGGCCATAAAAGGGTAGCAGTGAGGGGTCTTTATCATGGAACTGTTCACCATGGTGATTGGTGGTTACATGAATCTGCACACGTGATAAAATGGCATAGAACTAAATATACACACAAATAAGTGTGTGTAACTGGTGAAATATGAATAAGGTAGATTTTTATCAGTGTTAATTTCCTCTGCTATAGTTATGCTAGATATTACCATTGGGGGAAGTTGGTTGAAAAGTTCATAAACTCCATATGTATTAGGATGCATGTGAATCTGCAATTATCTCAAAGTAAAAAGTTTAAAAAAAATAACCATGGTAGGGAGGTGTGTGCCTACTATATACTGTTTCACTGAATTTTTACCTCATCCTTATTTTTATCCCAAATGTACAGATAAGGAAAGCAAGACAGAGCTTAAAGCACTTACCCTAGTCATGTGTTCATGTCTTTCTAACTCCCAAATTTAGTTCTTTCTACTGCACTCTATTCCTCTCTCAGCTGAGGTGACTAGACTAGATGAGTCTTAGCTGAACTGGGCATAAAATATGCCTCTGCCACTCCTTAGCAGCTACCAGCACAACCCTCAGCAGAGAAGACTAGAACTTCCAACACTCTTCCATGCCCAGACAAACTGTTAGAAAGAACTTTGGTCTCAGGGTGTTTGTTCTTGGAGGCATCAAGTCTGTTTATCATCTATTTGTCAGCAGTTGCAAATAAACAGGATTATTTACCTCCAAACCCCCTAGACTCTTTTGTTCTCCTCTCCTTGCCTGATTCTTTTTCATGCCCTCTCCTTTTATAGTATAGTAATATCTGAAATTACTAACTTATAATTAAAAACTCATTTATGCTGATATACAACCTCTCCTGGGTCTGTTTTATTTTCAGGCTTAATTGTGGAGGGACAGACTTGTTACACAAACACTTGCAGGATTATCATTCAGCATAGATTCTTATTTCTTATCTCCCTCTCCTTCCTCCCTTCCACCCTCCCCCTTCCTCCCTTCCTTCCTTCCTTCCATTAGTAGTTTGGCCATACTGTTTATACATGTTGTGCCTGCCTGCTTTTTCATAGGCCCCACTTTCACTATCAGAGGGGTCCTCATTTGAATAATAAATTATATGATCATTCACCCAGAAAGTCATGGATCTGTTTTCTTTTATCTAGGAAGGAAAGAAAAAGGTTAAATAGAATTTAAGATGTACTTTATAAATCTTTGTGCTGCATATCATATTTGGTTTGGCTTATTTGCTTGTAAGAAACAGAGACTTAAATTACTTCAAGAAAAATGGGTATTTCTTGCAATGATACACTGGCATTGGAATTTGAACCAAAGACAGCTCTAGGGATCAAACTGTATTCTTTATCTTTGTCTCCCAGGTCACTTAGTCTATCTCTGTCTCTAATGATCTGCTTTTTGTGTGTGTTTGCTCTGTGTTTTCTCATTATTGCCCTTTTTTTACTTACCTATATTTTCTTTGTTTCTTTTAAGTTCAGTGTTATTATCATAGTGATTCCTTCTAACCTTTCAGATGGTGAGACGTTCTTTACCAGAGATCCATGCATGCTTGAGGAATAACTTACACTAAAAGTATATGTTTATATATATGTGATTTTTATTGGAAGAGTATCTATAGGTTTCAACAGTCTCAAAGTAGACTGAAACCTGAAAAAAAATTATTTAATATCTTTTCCATTTCTGTCTTACTGATAACCGGCATAGAACTTCTGGAGTCAAATTCCTAAGACTTAAGCTATGGCCCAGTTCTACTTTTTCTACCAGGTTATTCTAGACTATGGATTAGCTACCCTGGGGTGAGATTCAACCTTTTGGTCTAATCTCTTTGTGATTAGGAACCGTGGCTACCTAAAGTAGAACTTATGAGTTTCACTTAAAAGGCATGATGGGAGTCTGAGTACCCTTCATTAAACAAATATTTATTGAATGCATTACTCTTACTGTGGGCAAGGCCCCATGACTTGCTTTCTGAAATAAGCAAATGAATTAAGAATCTAGGCCTCATAAGAATGTAGACAACCTAAATGTCCATGAACTGATGAATGGATAAATAAAATGTGGTTGTGAAATATTATTTGCCAGTGAAACGGAATGAAGTGCTAACACATGCTACAACACGGATGAACCTTGTAAACATGTTATATGAAAGAAGGCAGTCACAAAAGACCGCATATTGTGTTATTTCATGTATAGGAAATGTCCGGAATAGGCAAATCTGTAGAGACAGAAAGTAGCCTAATGGTTATGTAGGGCTCAGGGGAATTGGGAAGATGAGAAGTGACTGCTGGTGGGTACAGGGTTCCTTTCGGGGTGAAGAAAATGTTCTGCAGCTGGTAATGGTTGCACGGCTCTGTGAATATGCCAACAGTCCATTGAACTGAATTCTTGACGTGGATGAGCTGTATGGTGTGTAAATATATCTCAACAAGTAAAAATAAAAATAATAATTCTGGCCTGAAGAAATTTATAGTCCGTAGAAGACAAGACAGGTACACAAATAATTATAAATTGAAAGTAGAAAGTTATTGTAAATACTATTTTAAAAAAATGAGAATCTGGAACATGTTGACACATTTTACATATTGATCACATGATTCACCTTTAATTCTCTGAGAGATGAAGTACTTATGGGAAGAGGGTATGATTACATACAGTTTTGGGTGGGTTGGGGATCAGAGAATTTGTGGAAGAAATAGAATTTGAGTTAGAGCATAACTTGATAACTTTTTGTTTTAAGAAGATAGGAAGAAAATATTAAAATAAGAAGGGCATTCCAGGCCAAGAGAAAATTGAGAGTTCCAAAGCATCTGAGACTTAAAATTGTTAGAAATAAGAGCTAGAGAAGCAAGAAACTGAGCTTGACTAGCTAGAATGGTTACTGTGGCCTTGTACCCTAGATTTTCTATGACAGTTCCAATTCAAATATTCCTTTCTTCTCCAGTGAGCTCTAGATGTTGAAAAGCGGTTTATGGACTTAAGCAGGGCACATTTCAAAGGTTTATCAAAAAGAACTTCAACAGCCCACGTGAACTAGTAGATCAATAAGGTCTTACATGCCACTCAACCACATTATAATTGATTTCTGCCAATTTACATGTTGGCATTTGAACATAATTATATTTTTGAGCTACTTACATTTATTTCTACTAAAATACAAAGTGAAATTGTGGCCTTATGATGTATTACTGTCCCTCTCCACTGCCGCCAAGAAGGGGAACCACTAAAGCCTCCACAGATGCCTAACATTTTAGTCATAACTAAAATATATTATTAACGAATAACTTTATACAGTCTAAAGAGCAGAATATCTTATGTGGCCTCTTTTGCTAACTTGGGCTACTTTTGCTGGAGGACATTAAAATATCTTGGAATTTTAGTATGTCAGCATCTAAGCTGTATCTCCCAGACCGCCTGGTAAGAAATAAAGGCTGCATGGACATGAAGGGAAGTATTTTGCATGATAACATATGCGTTATTATAGGTGTTCACTTTATAAAAGCAGTTTGTAAATCTGGCTTTTTAACCTTATAAAAACAAGGGTATTTAAAAATCAGATTCTATAGTTTAATAACCATGTTTTAATTAATATGTTTCAGTTCTGGAGGTGGTTTTTGGCAAACCTGGCTTCTGGTGGAGCCGCTGGGGCAACATCCTTATGTGTAGTATATCCGCTAGATTTTGCCCGAACCCGATTAGGTGTTGATATTGGAAAAGGTATGGGATTTTTAGAAATACTCTTTCTTCTTTGTGTTTTTGAACACTGTATTATCTATTTTAGTTATGCTTATAACAACAGTGTTGTATTCCATCTAAAAATTTTATTCTCAACCAAATGATAAAGTTATAGAGCCTAAAGAGTACTACTTTTTTCTTTTCTCTTAAAAGAGGGAAGGGGAAGGCCAATACTGTAGTAACAAAAAGAGTAAGCACAGAGACTGCTTATAACTTATTTCCAGTTTGTTTGTTTGTTTGTTTAGAGAGATCCCTAGATCCCTTCATGCACTTACTTTCCTGTCTTGACTGTGGCTTCTCTCTACATTAGGTGTATAACTCTCATCCTAGAGATTCTCTTTTCCTCTGTCCTTACTTATTTATCACATCTTTCTGTGTTTTTGTTACACCCTTGTTTTGGTAGATATGTTCTTTGATAGCTTTCTGAGAAGGGTGGATAGGAGATAAATTGAGATCTTGCATATCTGAAAATGTCTATGTTTCATCCTTTTAATATTTTGCCATATGTAAAATTCTGGATTTAAAATTATTTTCTTTCACAATTTTGAAAGCATTAATCTGGATTCTAGTTTCTAATACTGCTCTTAAGAAATCATTCTCTTACTGTTGATCCTTTTTATGTGGCCTTTTTTCTTCTTAATTACCTTATATCTCTGATGATCTGACATTCACAATGATGTATCTTTGTGTGAGTCATTTTCAGTAATTGTGGAGGTCACTCAGTTAGCCCAATATCTGATATAATGTTGCTAATAAATTTTAAATGGCTTTATTTTAGGTCCTGAAGAGAGACAATTCAAGGGTTTAGGTGACTGTATTATGAAAATAGCAAAATCAGATGGAATTGTTGGTTTATACCGAGGGTTTGGTGTTTCAGTTCAGGGCATCATTGTGTACCGAGCCTCTTATTTTGGAGCTTACGACACAGTTAAGGTAATTTGGTACTTTAACTAGTATATATTAAATAAATTGTTTGTTTCTTTTTATTCTAATTAGTAATATGTTCAGCAGGTATGTTTACTTTTAATTATAGAAATCAAAATAAATGATGACATAAGAGATATTATAGCATTCTGTTTAATCATGACTTTGCCATAACCTAATTAAATTACAACTGTATTATGGATCTGACTTTGGATATAAAGCATAAATATAAACGTTAGGTTTTTGTGCTGTTTGCACCGAAAGACTCAAATAGAAAACATGCTGATTAGATTATATCATAATTAGATCTTTGGTATATAGGAAGGCATCTTCTAACAGAGTTTTTCTGATTTTACATTCACTTTATTATCCGTTTTTTGTTTGTTTTTTTTTTGCAGTACGCGGGCCTCTCACTGTTGTGGCCTCTCCCGTTGCGGAGCACAGGCTCCGGACGTGCAGGCTCAGCAGCCATGGCTCATGGGCCCAGCCGCTCCGCGGCATGAATCCGCATCCCTCTCATTGGCAGGCGGACTCTCAACAACTGCGCCACCTGGGAAGCCCTTATTATCACTTTTTTACATGCATATTATCAGTTTACTATCATCAATGGAAAGCAGGCAAGGCATAATTAATTAGTTAAATATGATAAATGCTACTATAGCTCAGTGATCTATTGGATACTGTTAGATTTTGTATTGTATTTTCCAGGTTGTTCTGCAATTTGCCTTTTCAGTTCAGATGTAAATAGCACTTCATAAGGTAGGAAAGAGAAAGATTGTAATAATGGCTACCATTTTTTGAGCTATTACATAGTTTTGAGAACCTTATTAAGGACTTTATATCCTCACAGTGTTCTAGGATAGCTTTTAATATATCCCATTTTAAAGATAAATAACCTAGGAATGGCTAAGTCATTTATTTATGTGGCAAGCACAGGTCCCGTGCTCTTAATCACTACATCATAATGCTTCTAAAAAGAAGCAATGAAATTAATCCCAGTATTATTTACTAAATAAGCTTAAAACTTGAGGGAAATTTTATAATAGTTTTATACATTATCTCTGCCCTCCCTCATTAGTATAAATGTATCAATAGTTGAATGTTATTTTTATTGTGGTCTGGACATAATACTTTTAGTTTGTAGTGTATTTTTTTAGACAGATAAATAGATTAATTGAAATTACAGGATCTTATATATGTTTGTTTAATCACAGAAAAATTTATGTTTAATCGCCCTCTGCTTTCCTGTGTTATCACCTGTAGTAGTTGTAAAATTTAGGAATGTTTCTTCACTAGCTTAGAGCTTTAAAGCTGCTTATCAAACATCATCTGTTAATAATAACAGGCATTCTTTCATCTTTTCCAACTCTATGAGGAAGAACCAGGAAGGAACTTTTTTGGTCACTGGCTGCCATCTCTAGTTTTCAGTGTTATTAATAACAAATCTCCTGTAATAGCAGATATGCTATTCTTTTTCAAATACGCTTTTAAAATATAGCCATGTGTGGGATTCTCATTTCTTATTGATCTCCCGCTATTATTTTAATCTTACCACATTAAATCCAACTGTTTTTTTTTACTGCATTTTAAGTATAACTGAGCCCTCTTTCATATATTTATAAGAATTATCCTTTGACTTAATGATTTAAGATATTTTGGAAATTTCGATGGTTACTTGATAATTTTTCTTTTCTAGGACTTATTACCAAAACCAAAGGAAACTCCTTTTCTTGTCTCCTTTTTCATTGCTCAAGTTGTGACTACATGCTCTGGAATACTCTCCTATCCCTTTGACACAGTTAGAAGACGTATGATGATGCAGGTATTTTATATTATTTGTAAGCCTAATTGAGTTTTCCAGTATTTGATATTCAGATGTAATTTATTAAAATTTTAGAGACATTTTGGCTGAAAGGCATAGGCCATTTGTTTTACTTACTAAAATAAATACATAATGTGTTCTGTCTTGTATTCTTTCCTATCCCAAAGCAGCCATCATCCAGCAGAGTTTCTTCCATGTCTCCTATCAGAACAGAAATGTCTTTTACTCCTGTAGCATGTATTGTTGTTTGGAGAGTGGAGGGGCATGGCAAGGATTAGATGAGCATGTGTCTATCTTAACTGAATATTATTAGATTAAGTAGAATAAGCCCAGTCATAGGCCACTGACATATGTAATCATTTGTTGTAGTATATTTTAATAAAAGTAAATAAATTTTAACTCCAAGGATGAAGACTTGTTTATAATGATGTATGTTCTAAATGTAAATACCCAAACCAAAATTTTGATAAAGTCAATCTCCATTGCTGTTACTTGTTACATTCATTCATTCAACAAATAATTGAGTGCCTATTCACCAAGCTCTGGTGACACAAATAAAATAAGGCAGAACCTGCACCCAAATTCATAGCATAGTATTGAAGGCATACTGTTAATGGTTTAAGTAGAAATGTGCATAGGTTCCAGGAATGCAAAAGGGGAGGGGTACCCAAGTGCTTAAAGTGATCAGATATGGCCTCTTAGAAAGCTAAATCTCAGTAAATAGGCTTTTTCTCCAGACAGTGAAGAATACATTCTCAGCATAGGGGTAAAAAACATACCTAGAGGTATGGCTTGAGAAGAATTTCAGTATACCCATATGATAGGTTTCATGAGGGCAAGTGAAAATAATGAGGCCAGAAAGCTGTGTTTATTATGTGTCAGAACTGTCCTAAGCATTTTAACTCATTTAATTCTCAGAACAATGCTGTGAGGTGTAGTTATCCTCATTATCCTCTACAAAATGGTCCTGGAAGAACCCAGTGGGCCACCTGAAAGGGTAAAGCATATCTAACCTATTGCTTCATCTATGGACTATCCTTAAAGTTGTTCCTTTTATATCTGTGTTTCCTCTTGATCTATGTCTAGCTCTAGTTTACTAAACTGAAACACTTTTGAAAATTAATTTGCGAATAGACTGTGGATTAAGTAAATGGTACTGTATCAATGTTAAATTGTCTGATTTTGATAACTGTACTTCGGGTATGTAAGAAAATATTCTTAGAAAATGCACACTGAAATGTTTAAAAATAAGGGGCAATGATACCTGTAACTTACTGTCAAAATAATTCAGAAAAAAAATTGTGGGTGTGGATTTTTATATATATGTGTGCATTGCTATATGTATAAAACCGTACCACTGCCATAACATAGTACCAAAGACTGGGTGGCTTAAACAACAGAAATTTATTTTCTAACACTTTGGGAGGTTAAAAGTCAGTCAAGGTGTCCAGCAGGGTTGGTGTCTTCTGAGGGCCTCTCTCCTTGGCTTGTAGATGGCCTTCTTCTCTCTACGTCTTCTCATGGTCCTTTTTCTGTTTCTTTTCTTATAAGGCTTATCATAATGGATTAGGGCCCGCTCTAATGAGCTCATTTAACCATAATTATTTTTATAAAGACCCGGTCTCCAAATTTAGTCACAGTCTGAGGTTCTGGGGTTAGCTCTTCAATATATGAATTTTGTGGGGACACAATTCATAACAGTATTCTTTAATTTTTGCATTTTGATTTTATATCCCACAACTTTATTAAGCCATATTACAAACACTAATCTATATGTACACCCTTTGAAGTTTTTTTTTTGTTTTTACACACAGAGTGATATAATCTGCAAATAATAGCAGGCTTTTTTCCCTTCCTTATCAGTTCTTATGCCTTTTATTCCTTTTCTTGCCTTTCTGCACTGGTTGAGACCTCTGATTCAGTGTTACATTAAAGAAGTAATAACTGGCAACCTTGTTTTGGTCCTAGTCTTACCAGGAATGCCTTCAATGTTACAGATTACAAAGTTTAATGTTCGCTGTGGGGTTTTCGTAGTTATCCTTTATTATATTATGACTGGTCCTTTCTGTTTTGGATTCCAGTAATTTTTGTGTGTGTGTGTGTGGTACGCAGGCCTCTCACTGCTGTGGCCTCTCCTGCTGTGGAGCACAGGCTCCGGACGCGCAGGCTCAGCGGCCATGGCTCACGGGCCCAGCCGCTCCACGGCATGTGGGATCTTCCCAGATCGGGGCACAAACCCGTGTCCCCTGCATCAGCAGGCATACTCTCAACCACTGCGCCCCACCAGGGAAGCCCATGGATTCCAGTAATTCTTAATCATGAATGGTGGTCATGTTTTTTTCTATATCGAGATGATCATATTTTTCTTATATGCCTGGGGTCAATCCAGCTTGGTCATGATGTATTGTATTTTATACCCCTTGCTGAGTTTGATTTGCTGGGTTTTGTTCAGGATTTTTGTATCCATGGTTTCTGTGACATAAGCTTGTCATGTTTTTCCTTCTTGCGTTATCCTAGTCTAATTTTGGTATCAGGCCTATCTATGCAAGCCTCATAAAATATGTTAGGGAGTCTCCCCACTTTTTCTCTTCTTTGGAATAATTTCTGTGAGATTGGAATTAAATTTCCATTGAATTTTTAGTAGAACTCACATATAAAGCCATCTGGACACGTGGTTTTCTAATTTATGAGAAGATTTATAACAACTGATTGAATTTCTTTAACAAATTTAGTATATTCTAAAGTTTTTTGATATTCTGTTGGTAAATTATACTTTTTAGGAATTTATTTCCTCTGTGTTTTCAAAATAATTGTCATAAAGTTGTTCATAATATCATCTTGCTCTTTCTTAATCTCTGGGTCATCTGCAATGATGTTACCTTTGCCACTTTTAATAATTTGGGCGCCTTTTCTTGTTTTTCCTGAAACAGTGTTTCTAGGAATTTGTCAAAGTATTTCAGATAACTAACTTTTGACTTTTTATGCTTTCTCTTGCATTTATTATTTCCTTTATTTCTGGTGGTTAAAGTTACCACTCAAGCTGCATCTTACAAATTTAGTTGAGGAGTTTTGTGGTTGTTAGTTAGGTTTTAAATATTTTCTAAGATGTGTTTTTCTTAATACCCAAACGTGATATTTTTCTGGTTATCTTTTTTGTTCTTGATTTCTCTCTTAATTGCAATGTGGTGAGAGGATAAATCATGGTATGTGATGCCAATCTTTTAAAATTTGTTAAGTGTAATATGTGGCCATTTTTCAAGTGTGCCTGAAAAGCATGAGTATTTTGCAGTCAGTGGGAATAATACTCAATATATGACCATTAACTCAACATACTTACTCAACACAGTGTTAATTTTAATCTATCCCTGTTGCTAAATTAAATCTGTCTTATGATAAAAGATGTTAAGATAATGGCAAACTCTTTGTCTTTCTTTGTATAGAGTGGTGAGGCTGAACGGCAATATAAAGGAACTTTAGACTGCTTTGTGAAGATATACCAACATGAGGGAATTGGCGCATTTTTTCGTGGTGCCTTCTCCAATATCCTTCGTGGTACAGGGGGTGCTTTGGTGTTGGTATTATATGATAAAATTAAAGACCTCCTTAATATTGATATTGGAGGTAGTTCATCGGGAGATTAAATTGAAAAATGGATATAGTTAACTTATTAAACATACAAATTACGTAGCTGCCATTTGTATACATTTTGAATAGTGTGTTATTACTGTCAGTATTTTCTTAAAGTGCTAATTCTGCAGTGAAGCATAGGCTTTTTTTTTTTTTTTTTTTTTTGCGGTACACGGGCCTCTCACTGTTGTGGCCTCTCCCATTGTGGAGCACAGGCTCCAGACATGCAGGCTTAGCGGCCATGGCTCACGGGCCCAGCCGCTCTGCAGCATCTGGGATCTTCCCAGACCGAGGCACGAACCTGTGTCCCCTGCATCGGCAGGCGGACTCTCAACCACTGCGCCACCAGGGAAGCCCAAAGCATAGGCTTTTTTCAAGGATTTAAATACTAAAAGATCAAATAAATGTGGTTTCTTTCCTACTTAGACTCAAACTCACTTTAATGAAGAATTTTACTTAAGTGGTACATGTTATTTTTATTAGTTTAAAATCTTTTTCTTTTGTGATTAAAATAAATTTTATAATGCTAAAATCTAAGAAATGAAAGTATCTTCTTTTAAAATGATATTCTTTTAATGTAACTGTCTCCCCATCTTTTAAAATCATATGATATGACAAATATTTCTTCAGAGCTCATTAGGAGATGTCATCATGATATCTGTGGGCATAAGTAAGCTTTATTCTACAACATCTCTACTAAAGCAGTTCAGGTTATTACCATGTATTGTGTTTATGGTATCATATAGCTTTTGATAAGCACAGATTCTAGATCTGATCATAAAAAAATTGATAATGACTTTAATGACACTGCAAACTGTCGTTGGAAAGTAAAAGATATAAAAATGGCATATCTGCTAACTTTTATCTATAAAATAAATAAACTCTTGCTAATGTGAATATATCTTTGAACAAAAAATATCCCCTTGAAAATTACTTTGTGTACTTTGTATTGATGATAATAAAGGAAGTTTAAAACTTATTCCTGAGCTTTATTTTCCTTGATTCTAACTTATTAATAAGCAGAGAGTAACCAAATTTTTGTTAGAATTGGGAACTGGCTTAAAGACAGAAAGCAGGGTTTTCAAGGTTTTGTACAGGAGTCTGTCTTGTTTTTCAGAAATGTTGTAGAAGATAGTACATTTGAAATCCCCAAGACTTAAAAGTTTTAGTGGGTAAAGGAATGTTAAGCTAGTGGGGATAAACTATAGAAGGATTTTGTGAGGCTGTGAGTGGGCAAAACCAAAATAGGGTGAGTGAACTTACTGGTGCACAGGGCAAAGTATATTTCATGGAAAATAATACAAACTATACTTTTTAATATACTTGGTGTTATCACTTAAGGAAAAAAGTTAACTCTTTTGAAAACTCTTAACATGATTTCTTGCAGTGGTCAACATAACGCAGAAAGTTATATAACAAGATAGATGACGCTTCTATACTATCATTAGTTCTGTTTACCACAACAAAAGGAAGATTTAAGATGGCCCAAAGAAAATCAGTTAAAGTAATAAAAATTAGGAATAGTGTCCCGTAAAAAGATAAACTAAGAAAAGATAAAAGTTTTTAATTTGTTTAGGGACATGCTTAGAGGCAAAAAGTCTTTAAAAATGGCATCCATAGAGAGCAAACAATTTAATTACTAAATTGCTAGACCAAAAGCCTGTTCTTTGAATCCTGCAACATGTATATAGTTAGGACAAAAGAAAATAAAATGTTAACCTAGGGGACTGAAACTGAACATGCTGTGCCTACCAACCACACAAACTGTCCAATAAAGTTTTGAAAGGTTGGAAGGAGTTTTATTTAAGAGGAAAAACTAGGAAGATAGGCACCAAACCATAATAGACAAGGAGGATTGCCAACCATCTCAAAACAGTGAGTAGGAAAAAGGAAAGTCATCTGTGAGAAATCATAACCCCCAGGCTTGTATCACAACAAAGTATAGAATATATACATAAGTACTATCTGTGATACAGGAACTCCAAACTGAATAAGTAAAACTGTTCTAGGACCAGTGAGACTTCCTAAGGGCTCTGAAAGAAACAAATACAAAACCTCTCTGGGACACTTCTATGACCCAGGGCACACAAAAATCCCACAGAAAAAGCAGCCTTACTGAGGATGAATCCATGGTGAAAACATAAATCATATGAGGAAACAAGCACTGTGTAGCAGAGTTGGTAGATACAATCAGAATTAGCAATTAGCACCCTAATTCTAAGAACTAAAAATGTGATAAAATACTCTAAAAGGCTATAAAGTTAGAATGTTTAAAATGATTTAATAGATTTTTTAAAGGAAGCAAAATAATACAAATAGTACAGTATGAAAGAACAGACAAGTTTGAAAGAACATCTAGAAATGGTAGAGTGCTTGAAATTAAAAACATGACAAAAAGAGGCTAAGAGTCATAGAAGTTAGAATAAAGGGACCCTACACATTCTAATAGGAGATCTAGAAGAAACTGAAAAGAAGGGGTGAGAGGCAGTAATCAAAGGACAATGTCTGAGACTTCTCCAGAACCTAAAAAATCCATCCATCCTCAGGTTAATAAAAAATTCCCGGTAAATTTAAAAAATTTATAATGCTATAAATTTTATTGAAGATGTTGGGATAGTACTTTATATTTGTGCTGTATTACACAAACACATTTCTAAAGCACTGACATACATATTAGAAATAACCCTTGAAGTGAGGTAGATAATAAAGGTAGATGATAACTGGGGAGGTTAAATGAATCACAAAAGTTAGTGGCAAATCTTGGACTCCCTATATCTAATTTAAATTTGTTTTACTAATACTATACAACTAGTATATTTTAGGATAATATAACCTGAGAGCTCACAGTTGGCCTTGTAGAATGCAAAATCCACCATCTTCATTTTACAGAAGAAGGAACTACACCCCAGAGATTGTGTGGCTTGCCCAGAGAGGCACAGGTAGTTGTTGTTGATTCCATCATTGGAATCAGGTCAGCATCTGGTTCTTGCAGTAGTCCTCTTTTCAGGAAACAGGGTCAGGTAAAGGTTGGGTATACCTGCTCTGGAATCAAATCCCTACTCAGCTCTTATTGGCTGTATAACTTTGGGAAATCATTTTTTTTTCATTTTTATTGGAGTATAGTTGCTTTACAGTGTTGTGTTAGTTTCTGCTGTACAGCAACATGAATCAGCTATACATATATTTTTTAAAATCCACATTAGACACATCCTAATGAAACTACAAAATATCAAAGAAATAAAACTCATGACTTGCAAAGGAACACTATTTAGACTCATCAATAATAATGGATGCCAAAAGATAAGGGACAGTTACTGTCAATCAAGAATTGTCAACCAAATTATTATTCAAAAGGTAAAGATTTTTAGACAGAAACAAAAAATTCACCATTCAGAGACCTTTACTGAAAGAAAACCCAGAAGGAAAGAGGTATGCAAGAAGCAATGAAGTAAACAAATTGGTAAACATATTGGTAAACCAAGATAAACACTGGCTGTAAAAGACTTTTTGGTGGGAGAAGTAACTTGGTGAATTGGGGGATAATTTAGACTCTTTCTCAGTTTTCTTGGGAGCCTACACACATTTTGGTCTCTTCTTGCATTTTTTCAGGGGCAGGCCCCAATGTAAAACTAGGTATATTACTATAACTAAGCAGGTAAGTCTGCTTAATTCTGGAGTGCAATAATTATAAGCCCATAGACACATTTCTGTGATATCAGTAAAGCTGATTTTTTTTCTACACTGCCCACTCTTCTAGCTCAACTGTTTGAAAATTCAGGTAGAGATTCAGCTAAAATGGTATGTAGAAGGAAATTTATGGCTGCAAATATATGTATTAGAAAACAAGAAAGACAAAATTAATGAGCTGGGTGTTAGAAAAAGGACAAAGTAAACAAATATAGAAGGAGATAATAAAGAGCAGATGAAATAGAAAACAAAGACATAATAAACAGGCAAGAAACCCAGAAGCACTTTAAGAAACCACTAGTGATAGGAGCCAAGAAAAGAGATTCAAATAATATTAAGAATGAGAATATTGGACATATAGAAAAGATTTTTTAAATAAATGAATAATCAGCTTTATGCCAACAAACGTGAAGGCTTACATGAAATGGTCAATTTTTAATAAAAATGTAAATCAATATTGATACAAGAAATAATAGAAAACAAAGACTGTATCCCCTAAAGAAACTTAACCCATGATCATAAATCTACTTGTAAGCTCCAGGCCAAGATGGTTTTCAGGCTTGTTTTACCAAAACTTTGCCAAAGAAAAGAAAAAGGGGAAACCTCCTCAACTTCTTCTATGAAGCTAGTATAATCTTGATATTAGCAAGAAGAGTAAAGAAAGGAAAATTAAACCTTATAGATACAAACATTCTAAATAAAATAATCACAAGCTAAATCCAATATATCTAAAAACAGAACCATCATGGGTGGCCTAACAGGTTTATCTGAGGAATACAGGGATGTTAAAAAATCTATTAGTATTACTCACTGCATTAACTGATTTAGGGAGAAAAAAAGATCATTTCGATAGATGATGAATAGCGTTTGTTAAGTTTCAGTATCCACTTACGAGAAAAAACTCTTAGCAAGGAAAAGAGGATAATTTTAGCTTTTTTATATCAACGCAGAAGTATTTTCTTTAACGTTAAGCACAAGACAAGGATGCTCACCGCTATAGCTTATATTCACCATTGTACTGAAGAGCTTAGGCAACATAATTAAGAAAAAAGAAGTAGTATTAAAAATGAAGAAAAGATTTGGTTATTTCCCAGGCCATATGGTTCTATATACAGAAAATCCAAGAAACTCTACAAATATTAGAATTTTTGAGAATACAGCAGGATTGATGGATACATTGATCAATATATATAAATCAACGTAATCCCTATGTTGTAGCAGCAGCTGGGCATACCTACCATGTATTGGCTTTTTTGGTTCCAGGCATTGTGGCTATGCTCACATTATTTAATAATAAAAACAGCCTCATAGGTGTATTTGTCGTCTTCCTTTTAACAGGTTTTGAACATGGGACTTGGATAGTTAAGTAACTTGCCGAAGGTCCTACCGCTAGTAACTTAGGTGAGGCTGGGACTACAACCCAAGTCTATGTGACCCCAAACCTAGCCAGGAGGTATTCTCATTTACTCCCAGTAAATGTAGAGAATGTAATGATAATAATCCCTTGCGCCTGACCCCAAATCTTTCTT